TCCTAGTCAATGGGAGGAGCTCGTGGCTCAGAAGACTTCACCGGAGGCATTGTAGCTCAGTGCCCGTAACACCGAGCTAGCGAAGAGGAACAAACACCACCATCATCTAGACCCCGGTGGCTACTATGCCAAGGAAGAGTAGTTTAGGAAGATGAACGAAGAGGCCGCAGCTACTAGGAATATCGATGTGATGAATTTGAAGGTACGCTCAAGAAATTGGATATATGCAAGGAGTACAGAATCATCCGGCGGTAATCTTAAGTTTGATAAGCCGGAGACCCAAGAGGCGGTATCAAGGATATTGAAATATGCTGAAGACAAGGAGAATGGCTCATTCAATCCTACCAGAGAGAGGGACGAGCTTAGCCTTGGCTTGGGAAACAAGGAGCACACAGGCCGCACCAGGGGGCTAGGGAAAAGGACGACCTAGAAGCAAGGATTCGAAGAGGACAGGCACATATACAAGAAACATGGCTGAGACCGGGAGACTAGTCTTGAGCTCCAAGTGAAGGCTCTAGTTGCGAAGGCGCTGGAGGAGCAAGGACTGTCTACGAAGCCACGGATATTAGTGACGTCGCCGGAAGAACTGGCATTAGTTGGTAGCTCTCCGAAAGTTCCTAGCAGCCAAGGTTCCACTGCAGCCACAATCCCTGTCGATCGTATACGGGAACCAACTAGTTGCACCTTGGTGTTTCTCAGCGGCCGACAGAACACTGTGATGAAGGTGGCAACGGGTGTGGCACATCCTCCCGGTGGCTTACACCACAATAATAAGATACCGCCGGACTACACTAGGGTCGAGGTGCATACAGTGAAACCCGAGTTCATGCAGTGGAGGATAGACTACGCAACTCCCGAGGGGCTGGTGTTACTCGGAGACGTTATGGGGCAGTTCATCCTCTAGCACAAACGGGACATTATATTGACTGCTTCTTCGCCGCCTCCCCCTCTCCTAAATTTGGAGCGAGTTGTTGAGGTCGAGGAGATATTTTCATCATCTCGTGACCACCACATTCCTGAGATGCCACATTCTTCCCCACCTCCTAGCGAGCATGTGCCTGATGAGATGCCACAACCATCTCCAGCTCGTACCGAGCAAGTGCATGATGAGATGCCACAGTCTTCTCAACAAGCACAGCCGATACATGAACAACGAGTGCCTCCTGAAGAAGGTGATGCATAAGAAGATGAGGACGTGCCTGAATGGGAACATCGAAAGAAGATTCTAATCAACATAAGGTTAGTTTATGTTCCGATGAAAGACGTCTCGCCGGTGTTCAAGTGGTATTCCCATGACCAGTTCAAGCCTGAGAACCAAGTTAAAAAGGTCCCATCATGGGGTTCTGAGGAGGCCATCACTAGCAAACTCCACCAAATTGCAAAGCAGTATCCAAATGTTGATGCCATCAAATGGACAAAGGATTGCCCGAAAACACATGAAAGAGGCAAGCCCTTCCTACCAAACAGGTACATCTAGCGCCTATCACTTAGAATAAGAAGGTTCCATGATTGGTACTTGCGTGTTCTCCCAACGAGCATAGATCTCATACAAGCGTGCTTCCCCATCGGCACATTTGGAAGCCCAGCCGAGAAAATTGTCTTTGACTTCAATGACATGCACACATGCTTTCACCTGGGAGAAATGGAGATGAATCTAATTTGCACGTGGTGCCTGTAAGTCCTTGTCCTCCCGATATGATATGAATGTAATATTTGAATTTTGTTGTAACTAACCCACACCATGATTTATAGAATGCAAGTGTACATTGTCAAACAAATGTCAAGTGTGAAGCCGGGTATCTAGACCCTCAAGGTATAGCCCAAACAAATTTTAATTATCCTAAACGGTGGACACTAGATGCCAAAGAGCTAGCTGCTGCAAAGACTCTTCGGGAGAAAGAGCACATCCGTACGGCGAAATTAAGGGAAGAGTCCCTTAAGGTTGCGGCATACGTTGCCCTGGCTTTCAAAACTCTCCAACAACACTCTACTATATGGCTACCATACAACTTTGAGTAAGTTCTACTCTATACTTAAAGCTTTGTTCGATATATTTTATTCGATGCAAAAGAGTTTATCTAGTTCTATGATTAAATCCGTGCAGCAACCACTGAATTTGTATAGCCGTCGATGTCGGGAGGAGCATGGCATGGGTCTTTGATTCAATAGATAGGGACCCGGTGACATACAAAGACTTCATATCGATTCTCAAGACGTATACATATCGACAATCCTTATTAGCTTATATGTTTGTATACGTACTTGTAACGTTCACTTTTGGATACTAACAAGTTGTATTTGCTAAAATAATTCGAACAAGACATTTAGGTTCTATGTCACTAATCATCACGGAAGACATGATCTAGAAAGGAAGGAAAAGCTGGCTATAAAAACACTATGTGCGATAAGTGTAACTTACTTCTTCAGTACTCCGTTACATGGTTGTCAAAAGCATTACTTAACATTTTCATATGCAAAACACACAGTGCCTCAAGCAGAAGCCTGGGAGTGTACATTATGGATATTATATATGTTCTATGATGAGTAACACCGGTGCCTACAGGAGACACCCCTTGAGGGTAAGTTTGAACCTCTTCATCCGTAGTTTAAAAACTTCGTACATGGTATGAAATACTAAACTGAAACTTGTTCTCTTGAAGTGGAGAGAAGAGAAAGGAATGAAAAGAGATCCATACAAGGATGACCAACTCTTAGAGCTCGTCGGCGACCTTTGTAACTTCATATTGGACCAGATTATACACGTCAAAGGCGCCTACCATGACCGAGAGTCTGAGTTAGGTACAAATCCTCAGTACCAACACCTTCGTGAGACTGAAAGGCTAGCTCTAGGACGTTGATAACAATGTGTATGGAATTTGTATATTTAATGATGGATTGTATATATTTTTGTGAATTGGACTTGTAATTGTAGTTTATATAATACTCTTGTGCTTGTAGTCACGGTCGCGGGGCGTTCGGCAACGTGAACGCGGTTCGGAACGTTGGTCGCGGGGCGTTCGGCAACACGAACGCGGTTCGGAACGTTGGTCGCGGGACGTTCGGCAACGCGATTTTGAATTGTAAATTTGATTTTTTTTTTTGCGGGAAAACGTACTGTAGGGCGGTTCTAGATTGAACCGCCCCTATAAACAGGTATTTATAGGGGCAGCTGGTAATACGAGCCGCCCCCTACGAATAGATTTGTAGGGGCGGCTGGGCGGCTTGGGAACCGCTCCTATAAATACATGATTTGTAGAGACGGTTCGGTAAGGGTGGCTAGCCAAACCGCTCATGCAAAGGCTTACCAGCCGCCCCTACAAATGCTTTTTGTAGTAGTGATTAGCTAAAATTAGTCATAGTACATTGAAACAGGAGGGCTAATAAGTGGGCTAATTTTATATCGAAACCATCAGCAAGTTGTTAGCCAACTAGCTAGCCTAATTTAAGCTAATTCTTAGCTCAACTAGTAATATATATTTTCTGAAGTTAGTTTCTAGAATTCTGGCATGGCACAGTTGGCCCCCTCCCCCTCTGTTTTACCAGGACGTCACAGACAGCGAGTCAGCGACGCAAGCACGTAGAGCAACAGCAGAAATTTGTTGCAAACAACAAAGAAGTAGCCTAGTATGTTTTTTTTAATTCCAGTAAAGACCCTTTTCCGTACAGCTGATGATGATGCCCTCAAAGTTGTCGCTGCAACTGCAATGCTGCTGCGTGCCGAAAGGAGCAGAGACGGCTACTGGATCGCGTTTTAAAACCCGGCCGGCTCATCTGCTCTGCTCACTGCTCTCAACTCCGACTCTCCGAGCCTGAATGGAATACGCTAATCCCTCTCCCCTCACTAATTATCCTAGTGTTCCCAACCCTCACAAAGATCAGAAAAACAACATGGCATGATGACTTGATGATGAGAAGAGAGCAGTTCAGGCAGGCATAACGACATAATGGCTCCGTTAGGTCGCGTAGGTGATTTGGAGCTGCCTCTTGTTGCCCATAGCCTCTCTCGCAGTCGCAGTTGGCCGGTGCAGCCTGCAGCAGGATGTGCAGTGGGGCGGTTCAACCGAAGCGCATGCAGGCCAGGCCAGATTAGATTAAAAACCCAGCACTTGTTTTCATTGTTTTAAATTAACAACCATGCATGCTGCACAAATGCTTGTCTAATGTAATACAATGTGACATTTGTGACGAATGCTGAAGGTGAACAACTGAAACATGCATGGTTTGGATCCGCACGTTGGCTACACGCTCCACACTGATGCCATGCATCGGTCAGCAGTACGCACTGAAGCACAGCCGGTGGGAGATGATTCTTCCATTCCATGCATGAGAAATTAATAATGTATGTATCTTCTTTTCATGCCAGAAGCATGCATGCATGTAAAAGCTAAGGAAAGCAACCCATCACTCTGTTGCAAAGCTTGTGCATGTGGAATTCATAGCCTCAGCTCGTGTAGTTGCAGGCTAATTCGTGCTCAAAAACACTGCTCAAGGAGTCAAGGTAGGAAGGTGCTCTCGTTTCCGAAAAGGGGAAACGGAAGGACAGATGAACAGCACGTTTGCAAGCCTGAAATGTGCAATTGGTTCGGTTTGGTTGGCACAAGTATGTTCTGAAATCTTCTACTCTAACTCCCATCACGTGCAGTCTCGTGCATCCACGGTGATATCAAACAATGAACAGCAGGCTGGACAAATTATACCTCCTGGCAACCAGTTTGTATATATATTTATGTATGGCACTTGATGCTTGGAATTACAGGTACATCATTCAGTATTTATGAAGAGACTAAATTACCCTCACTGGTACGCACATGCTGTATACTTGGGTATATAAATTCTGATCGTACGTGTAACTTGTCGTTCTGCTGTCAGACACCTTAGGGTGTGCACACACTTGCTAGCTAACATATGCGTATAATTACGAGATAGTAATACACGGTGAAGATGGCGGCAGTGCTGAACTATGTATGTATCTTGCTGATGAAGGTCTGAAAGCACTCGGTTCAGTTGAGGTGGTTGTTGTCCTGAAGGGTGTACTTCACATCAGGCAGCGCCTGCAGAACGTCAGGATGCTCTGGCCAAGAAACAGATTAGCACAAGAGTTAGTATGCATTTCCAATGTCCAGGCCTTGCAAACTGTGAAATTTAATCACATGAATTTTGCAGAAACACAAGAAATGGTTTGAGTTTTGCAGGGACCATTAAAAAAATTTAGCATTCCAAATAAGGTGAGGTCCTTAATAGCATGTTCAGGCACCGGAGGGAATCAGGATAATGTTATCAATTCTGTTGTTTGCATGGTGGTGCGTGGTCCTCTTCTTTAATCTTTACCTTTTTCACTTTGAGAGACTTGAGGAGTTGGAAACGGAAAGTAAGCTTGGCTTGTCTTGTTTGTGTGACAATGACAAGAAGGCGCAAGGAAAACAGAAACTGTCAATGAAGATTTCCATTTACTACTACTAAGTTAAAAGTTGACAATGTTCAAAGTTAAAGCTACGGAACCGCAAACAGCAAATATGTTGACAATGCTTTACACTTTCTAGCCTTTGTTTGCATTGGGACGATGCCGAACAAGCGTAAATATGCTCAGCAAAGTTGAAAACTACTAGTATACTACTGAAGAAGCACGCGTTTGCATTGACCTCGGAATTGCCAAGAGGATTCCCTCCCACTCCTCCTGACTAAAAATCTGTCAACTGGGCTTCAAACCTTTGATTTTCTCACCGTGCTTAGTTAATTGCAGACCATGGATTGACACGATCGATCATGTGAACACCATATGGGGGATCGACTATATATACTTTCTACTAGTAAAGTGGTTAATTATAATTAACAAGAGAAAAACGAGAATAAATGCAACCATGAGACGAAGATTCTGTTGCACGATAACCGAGGCTCGCAGCCTCGGCGTCGTCGCCGGCCGGCCGGCCGGCCGGCGCCATGAATTTGCACAAGACATCAGGCAAACGATCGCAAAAACTAAAGAGCACCGAGAAATCGAAAAAAAAATGGAGCTCACTCTTCAACGCGGCGACCTGCGCCGGCGTGAGCTTGGCGGCGAACCCGCTGGCGGCGGCCTTGTAGCTGTAGATCAGCGCCTGCTTGGCTTTCTCCTCGCTTGCAATTCATTCGATGGCAACGACAGAGAAATCAGATCCTCCAATCAAGGTGACACGAAGGCGACCAAAGAAAAATGCTTAATTAGCTGCTGGTGGCCTGGTGCCGGTGCGGCGGTGCCATGCCATGGCATGCGTACCTGCCGAGCGCGGTGGCGAGGATGCGCATCTGGTATGCCTTGTAGTTGACGCCCTGGGCAGGGGCCTTCACCATCACCACGTACACGCTCGCGCCCGCCTGCTGGCCCTGCTTGCTGTCCCTGCTGCCGGCGCTCTTGGCCAGGGACACCGCGGCGGAGGAGAGTAGTAGTAGCAGCAGGAACGAGGTCACGGCGGCGCAAGGGCGCGTCCTCGTCGTCATGGCACGCCGGCGAAGGGGGAGACGACGAGACGAAGATCAAGGGGTACGTGTGCAGTGGAAAGGAACGACGCTCTGGTTTGTTGGTGTATTGCGGGAAGGGAGCGACGGAGCCGGTGGTCGCTTATATAACCGCGGCGTCTTGTTCGGGTGCCTATTATTATGTCCAAACTAGCGCCACGAAGACCCGCCCACGTCGCCTACTCATGGAACGGACCCGCCTCGCTGTCCCCGTTTGCATCACCCGCTCGTTTTACGCGTCCCTGCTCACGGGATGGATCCCGCCCTCGCCGCGCCGCTCCCGTCCATACTCGCGTCTCCCATTGCGGCTGCGCTCCATCCGTCCGTCTCAGCCCCTGTCGAGATTCGTGCCGCCGTCGACCTCCACACCAACGACCTCCGCGTCACTCCGTAGCATCGAGCTCCATGCCAGCGTCGAGCTTCGCGTCGACGAGCATCCATTTCGTCCAAGCAGCAAGTAGATGTTGCGCTTAAAAGCACATGTTGCAAGCGTCTGTTTCAAGTGTTGGTTGTTTCAGATGGATGTTGCAAAAGTAGATCGAGATGTTTCATATGTTGCAATAGTTGTACGCGTATGTTGTAAGCTTTTGTTCCCAATGTTTCATCTATTTTTCAGATGTATGTTGCGAGTTGTTTATTTGGATATTACATATGTTTCACACATATATTTGCAAGTGTTTTATCTGAATGTTGTGTATGTTTTTACAACGATTTCAAGTGTTTTTCATGTGTTTTTTCAACTGTTTTAGATGCAAGTTTTAAGTGTTTTAAGTGTTTCATCTGTCCTCATACGTATGTTGCAAGTGTTGCATCTGAATGTTTCAAAAGTAGATAGGGTGTTGCATCTCTCTCCTCACCTTCTACTGCCTCGCCTCGGTGTCTTCTCCTCCCTCGCATTAGTTGGACATCCATTGCCTCCTTCATCTCTTCTCGATGCCTGTGACGTTCGGGGCGGTGAGAGCCCCACGTGGGCGTGTGAAACGGCGCGGAAAAATCACTGTAGGCGCGGGTGGCCGGATGCCTCGTCCGTCCGGATGTCCGGATGCTCGCAATCCTAATTTTTTTTGTAATAAAAAATCAAACAGAAAATTTGCTAAAGTTTTAATAACCGATATCTATATCTATATTTAACATTAACGAGTAAAAAGTTTATCTCGTCTCTCATATGTTTTATCATCTTAGTCCATCCTCGACTCTAGCTCAGCCTTCTCGCTTTAAATCCGAAGCTGCAAAATTTTCGTTGGTACTACACCGCTCATGTCATGGTACGGTCCAGACTTTTTGTATGTCGCAACACCCATGCTAGTGGTTTGTCTTTGATCTTTTTAAACTGACAATATGTATACACGTAATATACAGGTCTTGTCTAGTTTCTTCTCCTAAAGTTTACTCCATGTTCCATCGAATATTTGTTGGACACATGCATAGAGTATTAAATATAGACTAAAAAATAACTAATTGCACAGTTTACGACTAATTTGCGAGACGAATCTTTTAAGCCTAATTAGCCCATGATTTGATAATGTGGTGCTACAGTAATACATATGCTAATGATGAATTAATTAGGCTTAATAATTTCGTCTCGTGGATTACTGACGGATTCTGTAATTTATTTTTTATTAGGATCCGAACACCCCATGCGATACCCTCATGTGACATCCGATGTGACACCTCAAAATTTTACCCCCTAGATTTAAATAAGGCCATAGTCACGTATTTAAGTTGAATCATTCTCCTATCCATACATGATTAATCCTTTGTTTCACGTACTAGCATTTATTGTGGTCTAGAATTTATTTAATTTAAGGTTAGTCCAAATCTAATTAAATCCAACAAAAATAGGTAGAATATCATTATTGGAATGAGCATCGCGTAGTAATTTTGTATGTGCCATTGCAAGGACATAGGTATATATTTGATAGCAATGTAATTAAATTGTTCATATTAGTTACTATGTGGTGTGGAAATTCCAAGCTCCGGACAGTTCTGATTACCCACCACCTACTCCATAGTTAATTTTTTAATGAACTAAGCAGGTTGATTATATTAAAAAGAGAAATGTCTAGATTAGACAAACAACAACCTACTAGAGGTTGACAATAGAAGACCACAACTACAAAGACTAGCTAGACAACTCTAACAAGTAACATCGGCAAAACCGCTCACATTAAGAACAAAACCGAAAGCACAAACACCATAGAAAATATGGGCGTGTTTGGTTCGGCTTCCGATGGCTCTAGCTCCACCTGTCGTACTGTAGCTGGTACTATAGACTATTGTGTTGTACCGTGCAATCCTTAGCCAGGTATTGTAGCGGCTGCTCCAGCAGGCACCAGAGAGGAACCGGAGGAGCCAGCATTGGGAGGCTCCGCCGGCTCCACCACAGTAGATGCACAGTGCTGCTACAATGCCAGAGCAGGAGCTGGTCGGAGCCCCTCCAAACACGCCCTACAACACCTAACAAAGAGATAAATAAATCTCGGTACCAAGTTCTGGAAAGCGTGACCTTCTAAACACATCAATGACTTAAGAAGGATTGATGATAATAATTCTTTTAGGCGGTCTGCATAGTTTTCAATTACGTCCTTGTTAAACTACCCATAGACTAGTCTTAATGGGAGTTTTATGAAATTTTTTATGTGTATTAAATAAACTAACATGGCATAGTTTAAATTAAAAGATAGATAATAAAAGTTTTATGGGATTGAATGAGTTTCATAGAGATGAAACTTGTTTATACTGTTTCTAACGCATATGAGTTTTGGAAACAGGGATATAAAACCCCACTAAGATTGGCCTTATTATCAATGATGCTAAAATCTTTTAACACACTCAATAAAGAGTGCCTCTAATGATCTAGTTTAGAGCTAGCTTAATCAATTTTTTAATCATTGAATAGTACGAAAGACAAGAGAGACTATGCATCCCTCACAACACGATATTCAATGATGCTAGCTACAACCTCTCTTTTCTGCATATTAATTAGCTTAGAGCTAGTGCGCTGATACTATAGGAGACACCCTAATCAATTCATTCACAACGGCAGTCTCCAAACCTGCAAATCCTGATCCTAATTAACCAAAAATCGTCGTCCCCCAATTTAATTTTTTACTATAAATACTGATGACTAGCTCATGCATAAAGCAAACCTGCTTATTATTTCACCTGATTGAGTGAAGCAGAGTGGAAAAACTCTGGTAAAAATAATACATTTTGAACTGAGCCATTAACACGGTATAGGCAACTTTCCATAGGCCATAACTAATGGACCCATCCAAGGAAAGCAATTATGTTACACATGCGTGAGCAAAGCAAACCTTTAATTTGTTCGGTGAGTGAGATAAGGGCACTCCCAGTACAGAAATTTCAATACCATACGAAGAGACTATCTGTTCACAATAACATCGGATCTTCTGCTCCTTCTTTCACCGTTGGCCTCGTCCAGAGCACGGCAGCGTGCAGGTGGCCGCGGGCACGTTCCACGGGCGTTATGCGGCGTCCGCGGAGTCGAGCAGGGAGGAGGGCGTGGCGGAGACAGGCCATGGCCTCCACGGCGGCGGTGCCGACCGGCCGCGCGCGAGCCTACGCGTACGTGCCGGAACCAGCGAGCCGCCGTGGGGATGCGGGCCACGAGTGTCGAGCGCGGGGAGGCGAGCGTCGAGCGGCCGTGGCCGGAGCTCCACTACGCTGAGCGGCCGCGCGCAACCCGGTCGAACGCATCGAGGCGGGGTGGATAGGGCGGCGCGGCGGCGTTGAGCCGCGGCCAGAGCTCCGCGGAGCGTAGGACGGTGCGGCGGCCGGCGGCGTTGGGCCGAGGCTTGTCGAAGGGGTGCTGCTCGGAGGAGAACGCGACGAGGTCACAGTCTTTAGCTCAGATGGGCGTGGCTGGTGCCGGCGTGCAGGGGCTCGGACGTCAGTCGGAGGCGGAGAGGGAAACTGCGGCCTTGGGGTGCGTCATGGACGCCCGTAGTCGGAGAAGGCAGCGTACGTTGAGGCAGCAGTTCGGTGCCGTGGCAAGGTTACGCGACGGCGAGGTCGGACGGAAGCGTCGACGGCCGACCGGGATGACGCGTCCGCGGCGGCGCGGCAGGATGGTCTCCCGCGGCTGGAGCTAGCGTCCGCACGGCGCTGCTGTTCCGTGCGCTGTGCGGCCAATGGGGAGGGCACGTCCGCTCGCATGGCGGGCGCAGGGATCAGTCGGACGCCGGGAAGAAACCATGATTTCCTCCCAACATGGACAGACTTGTTTCTTCGGTCTCGCTCGCTGCATAGACGTGGTTTCTGCTTTAGACATAGTTTGTTCATTTTTTCCTCTCTTCAATAAACCGCATGCCACATTACCAAATTACCTACATATCAGTGTAATTAATGGCTATAGAAATTATCATAGGGCCTGTTCGCTGGTCGGTGTTGGTGCTGGTTTGGACTGGATGGTGCTGGTTTTTTGTGAGAGAAAAATACTGTTGACTGGCTGGTTTAGGCTGGCTGAAACCAACAAGCGAACAGGCTGATAGTTTCTGGGTTGGGAGTGCCCTAAGATATGCATATACTCCACCTCAAAGAAATATCATTATCCACATCACGTATCAGGCCCTCCGACTACTGTGTGTGCCAAACTTCAGCTAAGCCATGACGACTCCCACACATAATTATTGAAAATTTCACCATTCCTTGTGTCTTCCTAGATGCATAGACCGAAACCCAAAGTGTCCTGTTTTTCCTCTTGTGCACGGCCAACCCTAGAAAGACGAGCTGGTTCACACACGTGCACCCAGCCATAGTTAGGCGCGCATGCATGTGCCGTGACAATGCAAGTACAAGAGGTTGTCCTGCATGTTTCATTCTTCATGAAAATGAATGAAGTATCATGATTTGGCACGGTCACAAACGTACCGATTTCCTGTCAATGAAGATATAAAATGCACCACATGGACTCTTGCACCAAATGTGAGACTAGAGAGCAAGATAAGATTCATCATTTATGGGTCGCCTCGATTTCTATGCAGGGAAGTTCAACATTGACTTTCTCCAGCCTGCAGAATACAGTACTTGGTATCTTTTGGGAAGACTGCACAGCAGGACCAAAAGTGTAATGAATGAGCTTTTTATACACTCTTCTGTAAAGGAAAAATATTCGTTTCAAATTATAAGTTTCAAATTATAAGTCGTTTTGACTCTTTTTTTAGATTCAATAGTTTTTTTTATCATGTATTTAGATATAATATGCACAACAAAAACTATGTACCTATAAAAAAACCAAAATGACTTATAATTTAAAACCGATGGAGTATAATGAAATCCAAAGGTGTAGTATCTTATTTGGTTGCCTTCGCCTGATTTGCTGCAGCTGACATGGAGCGAAGCTGTCCAGTAATCTCTGTGAATGCTGGGCGCTGTGCCGGATCTGGAGCCCAACACTGCTCCATGAACAAATTTGGCCCGTCATCATATTTGGCCGTTTAGCTATTGCAATAGATTGGGTTGCATTTCATAACAATGAAGACCTCCAAATCTGCTTCCAATCAAGTGCATCACGCATGTTTGGGCAACAAACATATGCAGGCACGCGTTGTATGATTGGAAGTCAGTCTGTCAGAGAGGCAAATAACTGATCTGTACAATATTTCTAATTAATCTATGGACTTCCTAATAGCTGTTTGGTGGCCAAATCTTGTAGAATCTTCCAAGCAGCATTGATGTGTTGCTCCTCTGTAAGAGGCGCTCCAACTGCAAATCGTAAGACAAACTTGCCAGAAAGAATCTGTTCACAGGAGGGAGAAATAAAAGCACTATCAGTGGATAAAACATTTCGTGAGTACAAACAGTACAGAAGGATTTCCTAGAGACCCACCGTATGTGATATGAAGATCTTCCCACTTGAGTTAGCGGCATCCATTAGGTCATAGTTCAATTTGCGACCATTATCTTGGTCAGATGCCAGGGGCACAAGGCGGAAACAAACAAGTGAAAAGGTCCTTGGAGTCACTACCTGAATTGTTATAATGAATTGGACATATATCAAGTTATGGTAGAGAAGAAAATATATTGTGTTTTCTGATGAGTTTACTAGTACCAAAAAGAAGTTAGCAGGTTTCTTATTCATTTTACCTCGAATCTTGAATCAGAGATCACAAGTTGTTCGAAATGTTTGGCTAACTCTATATGCTTTCTGATGTGGCTTTGAAGGTTATCCACGCCATAAAGCCTCAAGACCATCCATAACTTAAGTGATCTGAAATGGAAGCACCAATTGCTAAGAGAAATTTATACATTTTGACACAATATATAGTATCTGAAAGAATTGCATGGAGTCAGAAACACTGCATTAAGGATGGGAATATGTTCGATATTTACATATGTTGGGCTAAGTAGAATATATGATTTGTGGGATATTTTGGATGCTGTGGGAAGGGGAAAGATTATTAAGAATTGACTTATAAACTGAACAAAATATGAAGAAATTTCTTTTTGATTGACTAATATTATTGGTTGGAAATGCTCTATAAAGGTGCAAATTGACTGTGCATGGCTGAAGGGCTTCTAAGTTCTAATCACAAAGCAGTGATGTTTTGAGGGTGCCACTTTGACTACTACTTATATTGCAATATGTGTATAAAATATAGCAAATGTGCTTTTATGAAACTATTCAAGACAAATCTGCTCACATCACTTTCAAACATACAAACCCAATATACAAAATGTATTTTGGAGTCAACATTTGGACTACTGAGTCAAGACAACATCAAAGCATCACTTATTTCAAACCAAAAGGAGTACAATTTATTTTACAATTTCACAACAGTCAGGCATATCAATTCAATCAATGGTATAGGGAGCAGAAAAAAAAAATATGCTACTCATCACGTGACCAAATAAATAACGGAAGCAAGGTTGCATTCCTATTTCCAGAAAGATATTGAAACAATGAGATAGTAAAAACATAAGGAACTACATATGAAAAATGGTAATAGATCGAGTTGTCTTGTGTGGGGAAATTCACCTAAAACGCCGTCCAAGTGGAATTTGCCAGTCTTTGAAATCAAAGACAGAATTTTCTTGGGAAGCCTGTAATTGGTAATAAATATTGGCACCAAGCAAATCATAAATTCACAAGAAAATAATAATGACTTCTCAACAAAATCTCTTTAGAGTGAAGTGCTTTTACATGGGAGCCCTTTTTATTAAACTGCAGTGCATCCTATCTCATTACTATTTATGAAATCCAATCCATCTATTCTGTTCAAAATATGCATTTAGATTGTTTGTCAATTTGAATAAGTTCAGAAGATTTTTTCGCATTACCAACATTATCATTATAGACCAAATTCCCCTTCAAAAGAAGCAAAACATGTCTCAGAATTTCAAAATCAGTTTGGCCTTAAACTCTCCTAAACATATTCCTTATAGCATCTCTGTCATACGTCTGATGGGGGCCCCCCAACCTCGAGCCAACGGCCAAGGGAGGCCCAAGGAGGGACGCCGGGCGAAGCCAGCATGCCCTAGGGGGAGGGTGCCGTTGCTCCCGCCGTCATCACCTCAAGTTACCATATCAAGTTGGTTAGAGTTTGGTTAGTTGTGGTATTAGAGTTTGAATAGTATGGAAGGGAGAATCCAATCTATAAGGACCTCCCATAGGTTGCTTGGAGCAAGTCCGATAGGGACTATAAATACTAGGGGGATGTAATCAATCAAACTAAGCAACAGAAGAGCGATTGCTCCTTCCCTACCCCTCTCCCTCTCTCCCCTGCGCCGCCTCTCCCTCCTATGCTGCCAACACTAGACGCCAGCCCCCTCCTCCACAGCCGCCAACCCCCTCCCCCATCACGACTCTTACACCTGGTATCTCAGAGACCAGCCCGATCCTACGCCGCTGCCATGGGTGCCAACGACAACAATGGTGACTTCAAAGCCGCCTTCGACAAGCTCGTAGCCGACCTTCACACGCAGTTCGACGACATCAAGGGCCAATTCCACTCCATCAACGACCACCTGACGACGATCGAGCAACGTGGTGGCCCTGAGGAGGCCGCCGCCGCCGCTGCTCGCGCCGAACGCGAGCGTAAGGCGATCGCCACCAAGCTGGAGGTTGACACCAAGAAGGTCATGGAGGACGCAGTCCGCGCCTTCCTCAAGCAACAAAAGGAGGCATCGCCGTCATCCACAATCCCTGAGATTGTTGATGACCTGGAGGGCAAGCTCTTTACCGACATCAACACAATGGAGGCCCCCAAGATCAATCTACCTCCGCCGTTCCCGTACCAGGGGACCTTGCCAGGCTCCTTCCCCGTCCTCACGCCATGACTCCACAAGCTCAACTTCCCCACGTACGACGGCAAGGAAGATCCATTGCCGTGGATCAACCGCTGCGAGCAGTTCTTCAGAGGCCAAAAGACTCCGGAAACAGAGCAAGTCTGGTATGCATCTTACCATCTGACAGGAGGCGCACAACAGTGGTACATGCGCCTGACTTAAGACAAGACGGTGACGGACTGGGCATACCTCGCTCGGTAAGTCAACAAGCACTTTGCCCCCCCCCACACGGCGCAACCCCCTCGGCTAGCTCGCCTCCTTCCGCAAGACCGGCACTGTCGACGACTACACCGAGCACTTCTTGGCGCACGTGGCTCGTGGCGGGCCTCTCGACGAACAAGTGAACATCTACACTGCCGGTCTCCTGGACCCCTGAGCTCCAGAATCCACCAGACATGGAGATGGCCATGTCCTTGGCTAGGGCGTACGAACAACGTCTCGCGGTGATCGCCGACTCCAACAAGGCACCAGCCACCAAGCCGACGCCGCGGGTGCTACCTTTGAAGGCGCCCCCCTCGACACCGACCTCGACGACTATGACAACAGCGTCGCCAGCAGCTCCCCCGCGCCCATTCAAGCGCCTCACCACCGAGGAGATGGCGGAACGCCGACGTTCTGGGCTATGCTTCGACTGCGACGAACCCTTCACGCGCGGCCACAAGTGCAAGCATCTGTTCGACATCACAGCCGTCAACGACTACGACAACAATGATGATGAAACCGACGTCAACAACAGCCTCCTCATGATGATTGGGACCGACTAATCTCCGGTCCAGGGTCGTTCCCCGATGTACTTGACGGGGGTGGTGTCCGAGACAGGCGTCCACGTCCTCGTCGACACGGGCGCCACGCACAACATCATCGACATCAATGTCGCCCGCCTCATTGGTCTCCATGAACAGCGCATCAACACCGCCATACTTGTCGATAGTGGCAACGAGGTCCCCTGCCGCGCAGCAGCCTTCGGTGTACCACTGCACATCGACGCCTACCTCCTCGACATCGGCAACGACGTCGACGTCATCCTCGGCACACCTTGGTTGGCAGGCCTCGGCCGCCTGACTTGGGACTTTTCCACCATGGAGCTCCAATACATCCACAACGGCCACCCCGTCACCTTCACCACCATGCAGCCTCGGCGCACTCCGGCCGCCGTCCACGCCCTACCGGCGCCACCACCCATCTGCCGGGTCCAAGAGGAGGCGCCCCTACCACCCCGCAACATCTTGAGCAGGGCGAGTCGAGCTCGCCATCCCAACGCCCCCGACTACATCGACACGACTAACGTCATCTTCGAGCACCTGCGCCAAGCTACACATCGGCAACGCGAGCTCCGCACCATCGCCATGGCCATAGCAGATGGCGTGGCTGCCTAGGCATGGTCACTTGACCAAGGCCTCCTCTTCTTCGATGGTCGACTCTACCACCGGCGACATCGTCGCTTCTGCCTGACCTTTTGCAGATTCTACACCAAGGTGGCTCCGCCAACATGGAGCTCTTGGCCCTCGGCGCCCACCCCCCACCGAGGGGTCAACACAATGGAGTACCCATGAGCATCCTACTTGGACACCCATGGTTGCAGGGGCGCCCCATAACGTCGGCAACGGTCATCTTCCTCAACAACCTGAGCCGTCAACTCGTCCGCGTCGACAGCGTTCACATCGCCCTACGACCCGGCTCCACCGAACACCGTCTTTCGCCAGGCGAATTCGACTTGGGCTACTTCACGTTCGGCACAACGCTCGACCTGACGACATCGCCATCAACACGCTCAAGCGCCACGGTTTGGCGTCGCATCCCCGCCTACCTCGCCCCCGACGCCGAGAACCGCGTCCATGACTTTGTTGCACCACCAAGACAGTGTTGCAATTGAGTAACTAGACAAGTGGAATATTTCCTTCCAGAGGGCAGCTTGGCACTTAGGCTGCTTGATTGCATTATATAGAAGTAGCAAACTTGGGATACAAGAAGGTGCTTCACCTACTACAGCATATGCTAACTGCATAAAGCAGATGCTACCTTGGATGCTAAGGCATCTGAAAATAGCTAGACAGTAAACATTAACTATCTAAGACAATGAATGGTAAATAGCTTAAGTAGGTAAACTAGATACATTGGGTAAGCACTAGGCTAATCCCTCAGACAGATGCTGCACTTCGCCTTCGGAGCAGCAATCCCGCAACCCCTACTTGTCGCGGCTCGTCAGGCGACACGAGCCAGCACGAACACGGGCGTGCACCTCTACTTCTTCTACGGCTACATCGAGAACCTCCTCTACTGCTTCGAGATTTCACTGCCGCGCACACGGGAGAACATCATCATCGCCGCCCCCGTCTACGGCCGCATGCTTGGCTGCATCGAGGCCATCCTTCACGGGCAAGCTTTTCCGCCTGATGGCATCGACGACTAGACCCTACTTCGGCACGAGGACGCGCCGAGTGAAGGGGGGGGGGGTGTCATATGTCTGATGGGGCCCCCCTAACCTTGAGCAAACGGGCCAAGGGAGGCCCAAGGAGGGGCGTCGCCAGCACGCCCTAGGGGCTGCGCATGCCCTACGGGGTGGGCGCCGTCGCTCCCGCCGTCATCACCTCGAGTTACCATATCAAGTTGGTTAGAGTTTGATTAGTTATGGTATTAGAGTTTGGATAGTATGGAAGGGATAATCCAATCTATAAGGATCTCCCATAGGTTGCTTGGAGTCCAAGTCCAATAGGGATTATAAATACTAGGGGGATGTAATCAATCAAACTAAGCAACAGAAGAGCGATTGCTCCTTCCCTACCCCTCTCCCTCTCTCCCTGCGCCTGCCGCCCCCTCTCCCTGCGCCACCTCTCCCTCCCACGCCAACCCTAGCCACCAGCCCCCTCCTCCACAGCCGCCAACCCCCTCCCCCATCACGACTCTTACATGCTAGCTAGCTGTAATAAACTGGAATGGCAGCAAGGTGTGTATGTTCTGTTACAAGAACGGAACAATTCATCACCACTTCTTTTATTGCATTTATGCTAAATTCCTTTGGCGTGCTGTTTACTTGGTTTTAGGCTTACAACCTCCAAAAGATGTTCACGACCTTTTCCATAGGTGGTACAAACAGGGGAGGAGCTCAAATAAAGCTTTGTTGTTGATATAGGAGGTGCAACCATTTGGTGGACAATATGACTAACAATGAATGCGATTGTTTTTGACAAATTTCCTTCCAAAACTTTATTGCAATTCAAAAGAAAAATAAAAGATGGTACTAACCCAAAACCTTATCCTAACCCTCCTAGCTTCTGCAGATGGTTGATTAAGCATGTGCAACTTGTTAAACTTTGCTTAGATTTGAAATATTTGCAAATTTTGCCATGAATTTTTTAAAATGTTGTCCAAATGTTTGATGTCAAAATAGAAGTTAAAATCAAAGAGTAGTCAAAAACCTATGCGAAAATTCACATGGGAAAACTAGTTTTTTAGGTAAGTTGACACCATTAACTCCTCTAAACAGTATAGGGGTAAACTTTGCCTTCATTTGAAAAAGCAGGTGCAAAATCACAATTAGACTTCTGTCGGTGTTTTGTGGACCGACCAGTAAATTTAGCGCCGCGCTGCTCAAGAGAGTCGATGGTGGAGCTCGAGACACAAAGAGTTATACTGGTTCGGGACGAGGCCCTACGTCCAGTCTCGGAGATATGCGAGTTCGTGTTCCTCGGTTCAAGTGCTCCGAAGGCTTACAATGGGGGGTTCATAAGCTAGGGTTCTACAGAGAGAAAGGGTTCGAGGTAGGAGGATTCGATTGTTCTGAATGAAGGCCCAGCTCCCCTTATATAGGCTTGGGGGGCGGGTGACAATTGAGATGAGATGGGGTTCTCCCGACTTGAGTGGCTTAGGTCGGGAGCCCGATGGAAGGGAGAAGTTGGTCAGTTTGGTCGGTGGGCCATCCATGTCTTGTCCTTGCTCCTGTAGATACGTCCGAGTATAGTCATCGAGTTCTTGCCCCTCACGCCAAGGCATGGCGCGCCATGGCGGCACTGTGCCGGTCATGGGGTGTCATGACAGCACTGTGCGGATCGTGGTTGTTCACCAACTGTCCTGTGCAGCGTGTGAGCACAGTGCGAGTCATGGACTCCATCCTAGCTCCCGTTATCCTAGGGAGGTGTCGTGGCACTATCGTGCGGAGAGGGCGGCTGTCCTTTGCGGGCTGCTTGCCCTCTTGGTCGCGGCAGCGTTGCCCCGACCCTCCGTGGTCGGGTCGGGGGTCCTTGGATCCGGCTAGTTTGGTGGGAGTTGACTCTCACTCGTGTGCCCCATACCCATAGTGGGTATGGCCGTATGCCCGTCCGTCGAGTCAGGCAGGGTCTAGGTGGAGCTGAGCCACGTGTTGTGACGTGTCCGAGCCATGGAGTAGTCTTGTCCATCTGAGGGGGGTGGCCCGAGGGGTGACGCTCTGCCCCAGGACCCTAGGGTCTGAAAGGTGGTCGTCCTTCTCTGTACCCGGAGGAGTGCGCGTGGGGCATGCGCGTCCCGTCCAGGCAGGTGCATTTAATGTTCCACCCACCTTCTGTCCTTCCCTAGCGGCCAAGGCCAGAGGTGGTCGAGGTGGCTGCGCAATTCATGGTCGAGAGACGGGAGTGGTCGAGGCGGGCCGCATATCATACAGTTCGGGGGAGGAGTGATCGAGGCGGGCCGCGGGAGCTAGGCCGTGACTGGCTGGGCCGCCCTAAGCGGTTGGTTAGGCGTGCCTAGGGGTACCCTGGTTATGTGCCCCCAACAACTTCAAAACAAGGGTAAAAGCACGATAGCCCTTTAATTAAAGAGAAAGAGAAACCACCTAGCACCTAGTTCCTCCTCGGTTAGCAAAGTTTTTAATAGTGTTGTGAACTTATCCCTTGACCACTGTAACATTACATTTAGTCATAGAGCAAAACTTGTATATTTCAAGTTACACCACTTTGTTTGGATGTGTGATCAGCATATTTTTGTTATTCGCTATCTAAACCTCTGTAAATATATATAAAAATTCCATTTAATAAAAATGTAAAAGTAAAATCAATAAAACACTAACATATAAAGGGATATAATTTAACCTTATTCTTGAGAAACTCTGGATTTGTAGACAATGATTGTATGAGATAACTTCTGTCCTGTTGCGCATAACATCAATTTGCACGTTAGGATTAGCCAATTAATCACAATAAAACACTTGGGAGAAGAATAAATAAAAAAGGACTACCAAGTAAATTACCTGCAATTTTGTTGTTGTTTAAGGAGAAAATTAGACATAATTATTTAGCTCAATGATGTAGTAATAGGAGAAAACATAATATGGTTGTTGGTTTCATCACATGGTCTACCTTCACCCATAGTAAGGAACAATCAAAGTTTGTGAGGAACCACTTATGTGCGTTCATATTAAATGAATCAGCTTCTTCCACTCCATTTAGGTAATGTCGATATTCTGGGCATATGCAGGCACTTCCCGCATAGGCAGCATCAATGTGGAGCCACATGTTATTGGCCTAAAAGAATTAGTAAATAAAAATGTTTAGTGGAATTCTATATTACATACCAAATAAAACTGATGTGTTCATTCAAATATAGAAATTGCACAGTCCTGTTCTGAATATGGAACTAATGGCATTGTGGAGACCAAAATTTCAGTGAAATATCCTGGACATTGGACAATAATACAGTACTGGTGCCCAGTGTATAAGCGAGACAAGCAGGGCTGTTGCTAGGCAAACTCAGACACAAATATTACTCGAAAGTCAGTATGAATTTAGAACTCAAAATTTAAGCATGCCTTTTATGAAGACTAATTTTCTTTTAAAGAAACATGTTAATCAAGAACAGATAGAATACTGGTTCTTGTGGTGTTTCAAAGCAAACAACATGCATCAATATTTATGATTTCTAACAGGGCCTGACAAAGAAAATTATAAATTAAAAAAATATCTTTGTGCCAATATAAAGAAAAGAAATGGAAAAAGTAAACAGTAAACACAAACAGATTAGATGAGCCCATTATATAAGTCAGTCCACAAATATCTCTTATTATCAGGAGTAATTCATAAGTCATGTCATAACTATATCCACCTTTGCTATTTGTCCTAGCTCAGGCAATGGGTCCACAGCTGATGAAGATGTGGTGCCTACCTGCATTAGGTGTGTTAGTGTATTAAAAAACCATTCTAGAATAGAATGTTGGCTTCATTTGGAGAAAACACAAGCTGTGGTTTGCAAGTTACATATAAGTATACTTCATATCCATTGGAAAAGAACATTATAACATGGCAGTAAGCAAGATTTTGAGTAAATCAAAAGCAAATACCAATACGTAATGAACCAAAAGATAACTCTTCCATTTATTTATTTACATGAGTCATGGATGTGCCATCATCCATGAGCGAGTCAAAGTGAAAATAATTTAATACTGACTAGTAAATACTCCCTCCATTCCAAATTATAGTTCGTTTCACTTTTTTTGACCCCAAGTTTGACCACTCGTCTTGTTCAAAAAATTTGTGCAAACATAGTTAAATTTAAGTCATTCTTGAAGAACTTTTGTTAATAAAGCAAGCCACAACAAAAGAAGTGATATTTTGCACAAATTTTTGAATAAGATGAGTGGTCAAACTTGGGGTCGAAAAAGTCAAACGAACTATAATTTGGAACGGATTTAGTAGTTAAATTCAACACCATTTGAATCTATAAATTTCAAATCTAAAAGACATAACCATTATTTCATTTTGCATTGGATCTCAACAGCAGCAATCTAGTAAAAGAATGTTTTATAGCATTACAAAAGGATTTCAATTTGCCTAGCCTGAACCATGCCCAAAAAAAGCAACAAAATTTTATTGTTGAAGACAAGATTGAGTTAAATGGCAAACATGATTAATAAGATTAACTGAATCTTGATATAATATCTGAATGTGAATTTTGAGTAATTATACAAATGTAACTCAAGTTAAATGGCAATGATCAAACCCACAAAAATGTATTTCAAGGTCTACTCTAGGAAGTTTGCATATGAAGAAAGTGGTGCTTATTACTTACTGTTGCACAGATGAAAAATGGTATTAAACCAGATGACAAGTCTGTGGCAATGGCGTCACTAATGGCTAGAGGTGCAACGGCATAGTTTTTATCGAAATCAGCCTTCACCAATCTCACGTTCTCTGGGAAAATCCCAGCAATCTATAATGAGAAGCATGTCAGCTCAAAAAGCAGAAAAGAAGTTTAAACTATACATGGTCGATAGTCCCCTCCATTTAACACAATGTGTGCAGTGTACAACATATAATCAGAAATTTTCCAATAGAGAGTACCTAGTTATTTTATTCACAAGTGACACTCAAATACCTGGCATGCCTTTTGGAGAGCAGAATGTGTCTGATCTGATGCATAAACTACTAGTTTTTCAAGTGACGTCTTCCCATGCTTCCTTAAAGTCCTGTCTCGTGCAGCCAAAAGGACAACAAGAACTGATTCACTGGCAGTGCCCTGGATTACACCTCCACCAAGTGCTGCAAAGACGGAAACAACAAAAGTAACTCTGAATGCCTGATTAGAGCAAGCAACATAAATATGCAGGCTTTTGCTATTCAGAAGATGGATGTTATATACCAGACAAAATATTAGTATGTATTAGTTTTCATATCGCATATGTAACTTAAATATATTATATCACCCTATTTAAGACTTTGTATCACCTCGATTTAATGTTCTTGAAAATTAATAAAACCTTCCTTTATCTAAAAAAATCACCCTAACCCACAACGCTCTTAGTTTCTCAACTAACACATTTAATTTAGTTCTTTTATTTTGAAAGCTGAGGTATAATTTAATAAGGAGGTGATAAACAATACTAAAAAGAGAACCAACTAATATTTTGTGTTGAGATGAGCAATTCAAATAGCATGCATCATTGAAACCAAATGTTATTGAATACTTACCAGTTGACAGGAACTGACTTGGGAGCCTAAGCATTTTGGCAAACCAATCCAAGACAATAACCTCTAGCTCAGTTGCAGCAGGAGAGGTTATCCAACTGAATCCGACTATGTTAAAGGCTGCACTAAGCATCTCCCCAAGGAAGCCAGCAGTGCTGCTATTGGAAGGATAATAAGCGAAGTAATTTGGACTTTGCCAATGTGTAACTCCGGGTACTATCTTCTCTCGTATATCTGTGCATATTATATAGCATTTATCATAAATCAGAAATTCAGAATAGACGAAGTAAAGGGTTCTGGCTCTATGCTTAGCCATAATGGTTTGCTTGGTGCAGAATATGGAAAGTGTGAATTATAATGTTACTTGAAAGTGGAGCAGAAGGAAACATTATTACCATCAAAAAGGGCCTCCAATGTATCGGGTTTGCTGGGAGCAGTATCCGGTAAAAGTTCCTTTAGATATCCTGGCTGCAAACAAATTCGCCGGTCAATCATTATTGGAAGTTTCACCATTTCATGATTTTTAACGAGGTACCTGTTGCTGCACTAAACTCTTACCTTGTATAAAAAATAAATTACTGCATGTTCCTTTCTGAAAAATGAATAAATGATAAATATATTTTAACAGAATACTCCTATTATGGACAGAGTGATGCTTCATGTTTAAAATATCGAGTATTATCCTTTTATCTGAGTGAATTAGCATAACTATGTCACGAGCATAGGCTCCTCATTTATTTGCCACATGCGCATCGGTGACTTGTTTGAAACCATGACATAGGCGATTTTTAAGGTAACCATCCGAATTCTAAGTGGTGGATGTAATAATAGAACAACAATGCATAATGATACTACCCTACAATGGCACAATGGAACAATGGACAATCGCAGAGACACCAGAGACAAATGCAGAGACATGCTAGTGGCTTCTCTTGAGGGGGATTTGTTTGGTGAACATTGGAACATCCTCCGATCATCGCTTCCTCTCTACCAGGCAATAACCATGGTGGATGTTGGGGACGGCACAACAACTTCATTCTGCTATAACGCTTGGCACAATGAGGACACTCATGATGAGTGTTTTCCGGCAATACACAGTCACTGCACCCGCAAAAATGTCTCTGTGGAACAGGTTTGTGCCTCAGGCACACTTGACTTGAACCTGTTTGTACCGCGCCTTTCAAACCAGGATACTTCTGAGTTCAGCCAGCTGCAGCAGATTGTCATTCAGACAACACTCAGTGACACCAGAGACAAACGCTGGGGACCCTTTTGCCTCGGCCAAGGGAAACTTGACTCCGGCAGCCTTTATCGTCTTCTGCAGTCCAGGAATGCGCCACCACACCCTGCTGCCAAGTTCATCTGGAATAGTCATGCTCCTCCACAAGTTCAATTCTTGGTTTGGTTGCTCGTGCATGGCAGAATTCAGTGTAGAACAATTCTGTTCAGGATAACTATCGTCGACTCGCCTGTTTGTGAAATATGCAATCTAGGTGACGAAACAAGTACGCACGTAGTCTTTGGCTGCCGCTTTGCTGAAGAATTCTGGGTGAAATTGGGAATTCAACTTGACATGTCCAAACAACTTCCCAAGTAAGCACTTCAACACTTTCGTCACCCTGTGTTACACTGTTACTAGAACTTGTGGAAACGTCGGAATGGGATCATTTTAAAAAATGAGGCACTCACACATCAATAAATGTTTCATCTCATCCACAACGACGCCAAACTGTGGAAGGCCAGACTGCCAAACAGAGACAAAGTGATCGCTGATGCCTGGTGTAACCTTCTGTTGTCAAACATGTAGCCTAATACAAATGATGATGTAAAAGTTGTAAAGCTCGAACCATGATGGGTCCATTCTGGACCTAGATCAATGAAATTAAACTCAGGTGGGGAGCCTTTCCCCCCGTTGACCCTAAAAAAAATGGACAAACGCAGAGACAGGCAGGCGGGTTGACACTTGACAGAGACCCATTCAATTCAGCACACTATATATATCAAGCAGCAGGTTGTATATATTCAGATTAGGGGACAGGAGGGTATAGGGGGTGGCGTACGTGCCTGCACTTGGCTGAGGACGGGGAAGGTCTCGATGGATTTGTAATAGTCGGCGACGAAATCCACCATCCGGTGGCCGCACTCCCGCAGCTGCTCCGCGTCCATAGGTCGCAGCCACCCGGCACCATCGCCGCCGCTGCCGCTGTTCGTTCCACCACTGCTGCCGCTACCGTCCCTGGGCAACATTGAACGAATACAGAAAATTGTCAAGAAATGGAGGAACAAAGAGAAGATACTAATGCAAACAAGACGAATCAAAACAACCAATTCATCAGGACGCTGGAGGTCGAAGGACGAGGAAGAGATTACATGCTTCAGAGGACTGGCGGTGCGATGGCAGGACGGGAGGCGGAGGCGGAGGCGGAGGCGGAGGCGGAGGCGGCGAGACAGACGAATGGAGGGGTATGGATGGATCAGTAGATCATTTTATCCTAACGGATGGCACATGGAATAGGACATTTAGGCCCCCGTTCGCTTCCTCGTAAACGACAATAAATTTCTAGCCGAGAACTGTGTTTTTCTCTCACACCAAACCAGCCAGCAGTAAATAATCCACGATACGATACGACCTTCCGAACAGGCTATAGGTTTGGCGCTACACCTTCAGTGGCAGAAAGAAAAAAACGATATACATTTACTATTTTTACTCGCGTGGTACGTCAGCTCCGCTGTTCAGCTTAGATTCGAGTCAGCAAGCTCGAGTAAAAAGACCTCTCCTGCCCCTGGCGTCTTTGTCCTCCCCGTGCCCTCCCTCCCCCGTCTCGTCCCGTCCTGGCGTGCCTCTGCTCGCCCGTCCTGCTCAACCTCCTCGTGCTGCTCTCCATCCTCTCCACCAACCTCCTCGCGCTCCTCGCCTTCCTCTCCCCCCGCGCACCACATCCCCGCCGCCACCGCAAACCTCTCCACCTCCTCCTCCTCGTCCGCCATCTCCACGCTGGTGGCGCCATCACGCGGGAGATCGTGCTAAGAAATATCAACAGACATTTCCGATGCCGTTGCCTCGAATGGATTCAATCTCCATACTTGGTGATTGTGCTAAGAAATGCCTACAATCATTTATGGCGCCGTTGCCATGAAGGGTATAGGTTAAAAGAATATAGTAGAACATGATCATGATCACATGCATGTAATGGTAGCCATAGTTTATGCAGGCTAACTCTGCTTCTTTTCTTCCTATTGTGGATGAAAACAGGACAGTGTATGACCGGTTTTGTCTTGCCGGAAAATTACACCGATAATCCGGAGGCGCTACTAAGGAAGAACAGGTCCCGTACCGCTTGTTCCTCCGCTACTCCACCGCAGTTGAACCAGTCGCCCCCGCACCATCCGCTACTACCGCTAAGGCCAAGTCACTTCGCGTCTACTCCACCTCTGCTATTGCCAACGTGCGCATTGGACTCGTTGGGTATCGAAAACTTCGAGCTCCGGACTGGCCTAATCACGATGGTGCAGGCAAACCAGTTCTATGGTTTGCCTAGCGAGGACGTGAACGCACACCTCCAACACTTCCTTGAGCTGTGTGACATCATCGTCATAAAAGACATTGCACCAGCAAGCATCAGGCTCCGTCTATTTTCCTTCTCCCTCACGGGGAAGGAAAAACAGTGGTTCTATAAGGAAAAGGAAGCAGTCAACACGTGGGACAAATGTTCCACGGCGTTCCTCGCGAAATTTTTCTCCATGGGCAAAACCAAGGCCCTGAGGGGAAAAATTTTAAACTTCCAGCAGAATTCGATGGAATCTATCCCCGAGGCGTGGGAGAGGCTGTAGGATTACATCCAGGCATGCCCGCACCACGAGATAGAAAAACTGGCTTATGCTCCAAAACTTCTATGATGGGCTGACGCCCATGTCGAAGGGGCACATAGATGCCGCTGCTGGAGGAGCCTTTCTTCTCTCACCATCGACGAAGCTACGGCTCTCATTGAGAAGATGGTGTCCAATCAAAGCTAAGGGAGGAAAGAAAACAATAAAAAGACATGCATACCGTGAAGGAGGCAGATATGCTTGCCACAAAATGGACTTGCTGTTAAAGAGACTTGACGAGCGTGCCGCCGATAAGGAGGCAATGAAGGGCACCATCAAGGCCACGAACTCGCAAATGACTTGCGAAGTCTGTGGTGAAGTCAGACACTTAGGAAACAACTGCCCCGAGACCCGTGAAGAAGCATCGTACATCAACAATGGGTTTCGACAAGATAATAATAACGGGTGGAACAATCAATCCCTCCCACAAGGAGGTAATTCAAATTTTAACTCCAATTTCAATTCAAATCAACCTACCTTGAAAGACCTGGTCTTAGACCAGGCAAAAATAAATGAAAGTTTAACTAAAAAGTTGATGTATAATGATAAAATGCTTGAGAACATTAACTCTAAAATAGAAGGATTATCATCATCTGTTAAGAATCAACTGAGCTTTAATATAGAAACAAAGTTAGCTCAAATTGCTGCTACTTTACCTGTTAATAATGAAGGAAAAATCCCGAGGCAACCCGAGAATTCTTTTGAAAAAGTTAATGCAGTGACCACGAGGGGTGGTAAGTCCACTCGTGATCCACCAAACCCTAACAATAAGACAGGAAAAGCACAAGGGCAATAGGAGGAGGGATCTTCTTAATCAACAAAATGCAAAAAGATCAAGAAGAAGAGGAAACGACACCGCAAGACTTCGTCGACACAAGCTATTTGTCGTTTCCCACTAGAAACAAAAAACAAGCCATGGACGAGCAATTCGCTCTTTTTGTTGAGATGATAGAGAAGATACATGTAAGCATCCCCCTTATGGACATCTTGCATGTACCTTCTTACACAAAATATATCAAAGACATCATCAACAATAAGCGACCATTGCCATCCACGGAGGTCGTAAAGCTGACGGAAGAATGTAGCGCAGCTATACTCAATTGTCTACCAGAAAAGAAGGACCCTGGGTGCCCCACAATCACATGCTCAATCGGGACCCAGCAATTTGACCATGCCTTGTGCGACCTAGGGGCTAGCGTCAGTGTGATGCCCAAGGTCATATTTGACAAGTTGAACTTCACGCACCTAGCGCCAACGCCGATGATGCTCTAGCTGACCGATTCCACGATTCGCCATCCGGTAGGGATTGCCGAAGATATCTCGATGAAAATCCAAGGATACTTCATCCCCGTCAACTTTGTGGTGCTAAACATGGAAACAAGGAAGGAATCGCCCCTCATCCTTGGGCGACTGTGGGGGTACAACCCCCGGTATCCACAAGTCAAGACATGGGCCGCACCATCAGAGGTGGCCCAGCCCACAAGATCAAGGCGTGCACGGCGCTGCTCGGCGTACACCGCAAGATATTGTATAGTACCAAATAGGCTACTTTACTTATAACCCTGCCCCTCCAGAGTATATAAGGAGAGGCAAGGGTCCCCCAGTGGACACGATCGATACATCTCAATACAATACATCAGAACATAGGATGTAGGTATTACGTCATACTGACGGCCGAGCCTGTCTAAATCTTGTGTCTTGGTGCTTGTATTACCATCTCGCTCCTGATCTCGCTCACCTCTATGACAAATCTAACATCGTGGGATACCCCTCGGTAGACTGTCGAGCATCTTTTATCGACAGTTGGCGCGCCAGGTAGGGGTGTGCGCTTGATCCCATGGCGAGCCAGATGGACCTCAAATCAACACGCGTTCTCGTCATCAACCTCGAGGAGATCCATGCCGGTCCACAACGACGACTCATCGCTGGCTACACCAGCCCCCATGACAGCAGATCCGATCTCGGAACCACCTCCGAGGTCGACTTCACCAACAACTCACCGCCCGCCAGGTGCTCACCGTCAACGCCGACCAGATAATGCTATACGTCGCCGACCAGATGCTCTGTCTAAAGCTAAGTCACGCTTTAATATTCTTCTAAATATTCTCCAATCTCTGTATATCACCATGATGTTTCTCCGAGCTGTTTTCTCCAAATTTGCTCTCCAAACGGTTTTCCGAACCCCCGAACAGTCATGTTGATGCTCGGACGCCTCCAGATACGCCCAGTCTCCGGCTCCTCCCTACACGTGCTATGGGCTCCGTGCTCTGCGTTATGGGTGGTCGGCTGCGGTTCCTTGGTGACGCCTGTTCCTCCTACACGTGCACGGGCTTCGCGCTCGACGTTATGGACTATGGGCTAGTTAGGGTGGAGAGACTCAGCTACACACTAATTGGTCGGGCGGTTTATATTAAATATAAATACATCTTTGCTCCAACTAATCATCGAGCTACATACGCTATTTTTTTCTCCGGAGTTCATATATTTTTACATCATGTACTACCCGTTCTACATGTTTGTATTGCATGATCATCGTTCAGGTGATCGGATCACTTGGTGCTCGGACTTCTCCACCGATCAACTAGTCGGACCGCTAGGTTCATCGACTTTGTCGCCGACCAGTTGATCGGGCTGTTCGCCGGTCGTTTTTACTCAATGCTCACTTCGCCGCCGACCAGTTGACCAGACTGTTCGTCGCTCGTCGTCGGTTACTCCTCGACGCTCGGATTCTTCGTGCACGAGGACTAAGTGGGCACACTTCACCGCACGGACGTCGCCAGCTACGCCGGTGCTCGGACCTCGCCAGCTTCACCGGGAATTCCTCGGTGCTCGAACATCGCTAGCTACGCGCGGGGACTCCTCGGTGCACCGACATCGCCAGCGACGCCGGGAACTCCTCGCTCCTCGGTGCTCGGACATCTCCAGCGACGCCGGGGACTCCTCGCTCTTTGGTGCTCGGCTGCTCGGATCTTGCTACGTCTCCTCGGTGTGTTATCAAGCTGTTTCATGCTGTTCAGATCAGGGTGCTGATCTTGGGCAGCATGTCTGGGGTCTTGATACGCGCATGTCAGACGACGTCGGCAAGCTTTCAGACTTCTTTTTCTTTGACCCTGCTACAAGATTCATTCTTCATCCTCTAGCAGGCTCGGGGACTAAGTGGGCACACTTCACCTTGCGGTGAATATGCGCTTTTCTTATCTCGAGGCTACGCCCGGGGACTGGCTGCATGCCCGACTGGTCTTCTACTTTCTGACCCTGGCACCATGTGACTACGTCACCTACTGTTAGGCTCGGGGACTAGCTGTGGGGGTTCGGCCCCCGGTATCCACAAGTCAAGACATGGGCCGCACCATCAGAGGTGGCCCAGCCCACAAGATCAAGACATGCACGGCGCTGCTCGGCGTGCACCGCAAGATATTATATAGTACCAAATATGCTACTTTACTTGTAACCCTGCCCCTCTAGAGTATATAAGGAGAGGCAGGGGTCCCCTAGTGGACACGATCGATACATCTCAATGCAATACATTAGAACACAAGATATAGGTATTACGTCATACTGATGGCCGAACTTGTCTAAATCTTGTGTCTTGGTGCTTGTATTACCATCTCGCTCCTGATCTTGCTCACCTCTACGACAAATCTACCATCGTGGGATACCCCTCGGTGTACTACCGAGCATCTTTTGTTGAGGAGTGCTTTCCTCAACACCGCGGGAGCACAAATTGATGTTGGAGCGGGAGAAATCCGCTTCAATATCAATGACAAAAGAAAAGTTTGACTTTCAGCCCAGGCAGGAGCAATGCTCCATGATCCATATCAAATACGGGCCAAATCCACAAGGCATAAAGGAGGTTGAGATACAACCTCAACTGATGGATAGCCTCGTCAAGAAAAAAAGAGGCCGGAGCAGAAAAAGAACAGCCTAAAATAAAAAGAAGAAACTTCAAAGGTTGTTCCCACACTACTCAAAAAGACAAAAAGGTGTGGAAACAAAAGGAAGAAACTCCGAATTCCACTACCACACCACCCAAATCAAACAAAATGGTGTGGACATCAAAGAAAGTACAGTCATCCATGTCTACTTCTCCGGGCACGGATATACCTTCATCAAGTAAGAAA